TCCAGGCAGAACATTTGCTGATCAAGTGGAGAACAGCAGTTTGTATAAATGTGCCTTTTCATTGTGATTCAGGATTTGAGCACAAAGAATAAACATGAAATAATTCAATGTGAGGAATTGCTGCTCTGGGAAACTGTCATCAGTATTTTGTCTCACATCACATTTGATATTTGTACATTATACATTTCTCTAAGTTATGATGAGTTTGAAGTTGTGAATGAACCGCTTGGTTTCCTCTCCTCACCAACAGATCGCTTTCTCTCAGCACAACAGCATCATGGACCTGGTGCAGTTCTTCGTCACCTTCTTCAGGTAACTTTTCTTATTTTTCTCATTTACAGTATGTGCTGTATTTATTCTCTGCAGAGCTTCCAGCTGCTCCGCACATGCTTTCCCCTGCTCAGCGGTTCAGTTCCCAGGGGCTCGTTGCACAACCTGAGCTCACTGAGTTATAGCAGGTGGCAGGAGCCTCAGGTGAGGTTCTCAACCCCCCGACAGCTCTGGCACTCGTCCGCATCTGCTCAACAGCAACAAGCAGAAGTGTCTTTGGCAACTCTGAGCCGTGTGGGTTATAGCTTTGTGGGAAAAAAAAAAAAAAAGAAGGAAGCTGATGTCATGTTCAGCGACTCGGGGATCTTTGTGAGGGTTTGTAACGGAGCTCGATACAATCTGGAGCCGCTCGACGGCCAAAAGCAAAAATCTGCCGTCGTCCTGTTCTGTGTTCAGACGTCTTCCTGTGAATCAGGACGTTGTTCCATAGAAGTGTGGTTTCAGTTAATCTGATATGTTTGAATCCTGATAATGAATTCCGTCTTCGCCCACACGGAGTCCATTAAACAGGAAGCAGACAGACGCATGACTTCAGGCCGTGGTGAGAGACGTTAGCGCTGCAGCTCACAGTCCTGCGCCGGGGATCTAATGAGGGAGGGATTTTTGGGAAAGAAGTCTGGAATGAAGTCGACTGTCTTCAGGCGAGATTCTGCCACTCAGCAATGACACCGGACGAGTGTGTGTTTGTCTGAGTGTGAATGCATCCTCGTTAGTGTGTGTGCAAATTATTATATCCTGTAAACAAACATCTCGAACCACTTAGACCTGAGGATTGGACATAAGTATATGGACACGTGCATATGTATGTGTCCTCTGTGTGTGTGTGTGTGTGTGTGTGTGTGTGTGTGTGTGTGTTGCCATGTGAGGAAGTGAGCAGGTTTTTTTTTTTTTTTTGCCCGGGGCTGGCTTCCGGACATCAGCGACCTTTAGGCCAGCATGGAGGGATGATGTCATCAGAAGGGGACAGCATCAACTTTTGCCGGGAGAGTTTGGTGTTATTCTTCTGCCTGAGTGTGTGTGTGTGTGTGTGTGTGTGTTAGTCACTGGTGTGTGTGTGTGTTAGTCACTCGTGTGTTGCTCTCTCCTGCACCAATAAGAAAAGGTTATGTGCTACGACTACAGGGCTGTTTCTTATTTGTTGGTTTATTTACAGCTTCGGTTATATAATGTGAATGTGCTTGTTTTGTTTGAGTCCGCTGAACGTGTTATCGGTAATTCTGTCTGAATATTAGATCGTTAGAGCTCGACCGATTTATTTGTTGTGATGATGTGAACCTTTTGATAACCGCAGTTATGTTTGCTGCTCAGAAAACTTTTATTTTGCAGAGTAAACAATGCTGAAAATATATGCATTTGCATTTATAGATATATTTATATATTTTCAGTTTCTTTGTCATAAGGGTTTAACGACATCTCGTGTTTTCCTCTCCTGATGACTAAAGTGTGATTTAAACTTATCTGAGCTGTGGCCTGATTTTAAGAACAATGTTGTAAAAGCCCGAAGGAGAATCTCCCTCTAATCTTAGTGTTTGGTTAAATATTGTTTTTAAGGAAATTAAACGCAGCTGCTTTGAGATTCCACCTCCGGCGTCTCCATGATTAACTGTAAAATCTTCTTCCACAAAGATTCAAAAAGTTTAAAAACCCTCCTCCCCTCTTTCCCTCCATCCCTCCCTCCCTCCGCTCTCATCTCCAAATGAAGGCGAGAGGAAAAAAGGAAAGTGGTTGTAATTAAACAGTGTTTATGTCTCCGCTCTCCACAGTCTCAAATGCTAATTGGTGACACTGCAGTTCAGCTCTGTCCAATTACTCCCAGCTCTCTCTCGCCTGATTAGCAATCACTTCCTCTCTCGTTCTTTTCCAGAACAGCGGAGAGGCGACTGGGCTCTAAGTGGCTCATGAGACTCCGATCACATCCACTTCTTTTCAAAACGAGCGTCGTCATCGTCGCTCACCTCCGCAGGGGTTTGTCTCTGTGGAGGTGAGCGATGACAGTTCTTTTATTTGTCTGCACTCTCACAGTAACTTTATTTAAACATGTAGAGATGAACAAACCCAGTGACGCAGGTAGTCGTCTGCAGCTTCCACACACACACACACACACACACACACACACACACACACACACACACACACACATTCATGATGATATGAAATGTTGTATTGAAAAGTTAAGATATGTAGAGAACCCATGTGGTTCACACACAAACTTCACGTGTTAACTTGAAATCAGGTGAAAAGAGTTGGACGACACAGATCATCGAGGGAAGTAAGAGACAAAAGCCTCGATGTTGAAAATGTTAGTAGTCGAGCGCCCGCGGCTTCGACTCGAGGCCTCTGATTGGTCGGGCTCGACGCTCCGAGTTGATTTTCTGGTTGTGCAGTTGGAAAGCTGTTTCCGATTGTGAGCTACGTGTGGCTCATGTTCAACGAATAGCTTATTGATTTTCTTCACTCTGCCTGCCGGAGCTCAGATGTTTCACTGTGTGTGTGTGTGTGTGTGTGTGTGTTTTACATGGTGTGCTTTAATCAAAAATAAGAAAGTGTGACACACACACACACACACACACACACGTCCTGCAGCTCGTAGAATCGACTTAAACCTGAAACCGTCTTAGACCTGAATCCATCATGAGGCTCAGTGGAGTGTTAACTAACCCACAGGACTCTCCCTCCCTCCCTCCCTCCCCCCCTCCCTCCCTAATGCCGTGGTAATAGCGACAATTAGCCACTGCGCTCCGTTGGTTTGATGGCTTAGCTTTGGCCCTGTGGCCCATTAAAGACGAGCTGAGGTAATACAGACTGAATGTGGAATCTGGGACCTGATTGGATTTGAAACTCAGCCAGCGGAGGGTAATGCACATTTGAAGGATGAAGTGATTCAGTCTATTTGTCTTTCTTGTGATTTCTTTCTGGTGAATATTCAGTGCACCGGGGTCCTGGCTGAAAATCTCAATAAGACGTTGGAACAAGAGGGTGGAAGTATTCCTCAGGCCGCAGATTTGTCGCCAGTGAAGAGTACGCCATTTGTCCCAAGCAACTTTTTTTTTGTAACTTTGCCATCCACGGTGCAGAACGTAAATTACTCCGTGTGCCACCGTTCAGATGCTTTCTTGGCTTTGTCGGCTCGTTTTCGTAGCGAAACAACGTAACGTTACTGCGCTAAGAGTTCATACAACACGACTTTTTAAAGTTGGCGACAGGGGCTCACACTCTTCACGATGTTTCACCCCTGACTTGCGTCCTCCTGCTCCAGAATAACACATCAGGCTCTATATGTATATCTTGAATCAAGTCAAACAAGAACTTTTTCATATTTTCTATTCATCTTCAACCGGATGTCTCCAGTGGCTTTGCAACAAACAACAATAAGAAATAAAAATTGATAAACTAGTGAAAAGGAAGATGCCACGTTTGAACAGTAGAGAGCTGGATCTGTGCAGCTGAGGATATATAGTTTAATCTGATGTTTGTATGGATGACGTGTTGTTTTCCTATAAAACAAAAGGTTTAATGAGTTGTGATAAATGTTTGCACTGAGGCCGGACATTTTACCGTTGAATGAAATCCTTTATTATCACACTCGGCCGTAACATCACACAGAAGATAACAAATAACCTTTATGGTAAATTTCACTAAAAATTATATCATTGCAAACAGCAGCTATAACTAAAAACACAAATAAAACAAAGTGAAGATAAAATGCACAAAAAGTGCAGCTCATAAAAGTCTCATTGTTGTATTTTACTGTAGGGAAAGTTCCGCACTGCATATGTAATATGTTGTGGATAATAACAGCCGGCGGATTTATGTGTGAGAAAAGGGCAACGCTGGGAGAAGTCAGTTGGTTTTATCTTAACGTGAAGAAGAGTCATAGAACTGTGAATGAACCACGTTTAACTTTATCCCTCAATGCAGAAATAAATGAAGATATTAAAAACCGTGATGACAGGAACTTCCCACATTCTTATTATTCTTTATTAGAGACAATGCACAAAAACACGCTTTATGACTAAAGACAGATTTATCGACAGGAGTTTGTTCCCCTGCGCTCTAACGACAGCAGGTGAACAACATCTATTTCACAACGCGTCCACAGATCGTTATCACCACACAGATAAAAACAATTTCTACTTTGTCTGAGGAAGCTTTTCACAAAGCCGGCGGAGCGGGTGTTTAAAGTTCCCACAATGCAGCAGCAGCAGCAGCAGCAGCAGCACGGTGCATCTTGTCCTCATCACAGGGGATTTCCTGTTTGTGATGTCACCGATCGTGGGCGAGAGGTCGTCCGTGGACAGAGGAGGCCGTGACTGCTGAAGGAGTCACGCTCATTACGGCTCCGAGACCCTTAACAACGCTGCCGTCCCCACATGAAGACACAGGAGGACACACACACACACTCACAGAGGACGATTGTTGTGTTGCTGCTGTCCTCAGCAGTTTCTGCGGCGCTTCCTGTCGTTAAGTCTTTGGTTTGGCTTGTGTCGAGCTCTTGTCAGAGGCTCCGGTTGAGAGAGGAGCTTTGTGTTGGATAACTTCACCCTCCAGACATCGAGCTGTAAGGCCGAGTGTGTGAGTGTGTGTGTGTGTTTGTGTGTAACACGAGACCTTGTTCTTTGTTAGACAGCGTCGTGTCGCTCGTTGACCTCGAGCTGCCCTTTGCTTTTCTGAAATCCCCAGTGGCCCTGTGGTCACTGCGGTTTTGTATCTCGCCACAAACTTCCTGAGAATGTCTCCGGTTTGTCCTCGTCGCTCAGCAGACACAGAGGCTGCAGGACAGTGAATGATGTGTGAGGAAGCTGAGCTATGATTTCTTTGTGGTTTTGTTCCTGGAGGTCGGAGCTGCACTTATATGAAAGAGCTTTTCAAATCTTATATTATCTGAAGTCCCTGGACCTTGAGTTCAGACACAATGTGAGGACGTTGCCTGATAATTGCGTAATGGTTGTGAGATTCACAAACACTTTCAAAAAGGACAAAGTAGAAAAAGACATGAAAAACAAGAAAACATGTTTTCCCCCTTTCTTATCAATACCTTTTTCATTATTACTTATTATTGAGTTGTGGTTCGTTCCAAAATCTCACCTAAATAAACTTGTCTCCTCACGAAGTTGCCATTTCTATAAATAAAATGATTTTAGATGCTGAAGGAGTAAAATATACAATAAAATAATGATCTTTTGATCTTTTAAATTTAGATTTGTAGATTTTGTAAATGTTAAAAGGAGACGTAAGATATTTTCTGATTGTCTTCCTCAGGACACTTCTCGCTGTATCTTCAGTTCACTGAGCACAAGTTTCATGTGTAGGATAAAGTGTGATCTTGGTTTACAGCCACAATAATGTTCTAACCGACTTTTTATCCAAAACTACAAACTTTTGTTGCTGAAATCGAACCACACACAGACTCCGGTCGTGTCCAAATGATTTTAACATTCACTGTCCGCGCCCACGTCTTTCTCCTTGTGCCTGGCAGAGATGATGTTCTTCCAGACCAGGAGAAGAAATTGCATTTAAATTTAATTTCTAGAAGTAAAATTGAGTGATTTCGTGACTGCGGCTCGTCCAAGTTTCAAAATGTCTTCAAACTTGAATCGTTTATTACGTTTCCATGAGAAACAAATTCTAATCCGTGCCGAGTTTCACAGGAAGATGAATCTATGTTGTGAATGAACCGTGATTTAGAGTAAATTAACCCACATTGATCAGAAGCAGTTGACCTGAATCACAAAGTGGTGCATCACATTAGAGTCGACTTCATTAAACACTATATTTCATACCCTTCTGAGGAGTTATTGATTTTTGATTGATTGATTGACTCTCCCGTGACCTTCTCCTCTTCCCAGCTGTTTCCTGTCCCTGTTACTCGTCGCTGCCGTGGTTTGGAAAATCAAACAGACCTGCTGGGCCTCGAGAAGACGAGAGGTAGGACATCGTCACGTATTCGTGTGTCTGCGCATCGAGCGTGTGTGTGATGTGTATTTACGCGCAGTACGAGCTGTGTGTGTGTGTGTGTGTGTTTCACTCTGCTGCACACGAGACGTAAAATGCAGCTGTCACATTGGAAACTGAAGTAAATACACACTGAACCCCCCCCCCCCCCATAGTCGTGAAGGGTGTGTTAATGTCACCGTCCCCGAAAAAAAGAAAATCGTCTCTTTGTATAACGAGTGTCGCCGTGACGATAAACACGGCCGTTCCCCTTAATTATTGCTCCGCTCACGAGTCAATTAACTCAGGCGGAGTGATGCTAAACGAAGTGGAATGGATGATATATCACTTAAAGCCTCAACAGATGCTGCATCATTTCATATTTACTCCTCACACACACACACACACACACACACACAGATCCATTTTGTTTAAATACACTTGTTGGTTTCTGCCCCTCCTCCCTCTCTTCTCTCGCTGCTGCTGTCGTGATGCTTTCATGGTGAAAAGAGTTGACTTCGATCGGGGGGGGGGGGTTTGCAGGATTGAATAAAAACAGTTGTATGAGGATTTTAACAGCTGAATCGACTTGTATGTCATCAGGACCTCAGGAAGGTTTGGTCTTTGTTCTTTGAGTCGCTGCTGAGATATTATTATTCATCTGAAGTGGCGTCAGTGTAATGCAGTTGAACAGCAGTCATTGATCAGTGCACGGTCAGGTACATGCAACACACTAACACACTAGTGCACAACGAGTGCGCTCAAAGAAACGTGTGTGTGTATCCGTCACTTCTCCCAAATTGTAAAAATGTTTTCTCTATATTTTTGAGTTTCTCTCTATCATTTGATGAAACCTTGATCTTAGAGTGCATTGAGATAACGTTTGCTGTGATCGGCTGTGAGCTCCGGGTGTTTTTTCCTGCTTTCACTGGATCCGACACAGTTTTGCTCTCTGTGATGATCTGTGTCAGATGCAGATCCTCTACATACGTGCACCACACGCACCAGTCTTAGCGTGTTTCCTCTTTTTCCCCCGCTCGCAGGCCGGCCGACGCTCGGCTCCATTATTTATGAGATATTTATGTCTCTTCACAGCAGAACCGCAGTGCTACATTTACTGCACTGTTGGTTTATTTACCCCGACTTCCTGTCATTGCTCCAGCTCTCCGTCACTCTCTCTGTCTCTTCCTGAGGGCTGTTCTCCGTTTCGAGCATCTAACAAATGGGAACCTCTGCCTCCGAGGAACAAATCACCACTGTAGGAGCTTCACTCTCCTCCCGTCCACAGTTAATGTTGCACATGAAACCAAATCAGCACATTTTTCACATATTAATTCATCTTTTCTGGCATAAATGAAGCGAATGTGACGCCTGGACGTGTGATTTCTACTGTAGTGAAGCTCAGGCTGTGGCTGAAGGAGAAAAAACACGGGATAGATTCGAATGAGTAATGGTGGCCCGGCGACCTCACAGGGAAACAATGACATTTCAGAGATGTACTTTGTTAATTTTCTTCACCAGTCGGTTGTTACATCACAGGAAACTCTCTCTGCATTTGTCCTTTAGCTGCTTTGGAAATGTCATCACTGAAACCAAGCGCTGTGAGCGAGAGAGCGAGCGACGATGCAAACTATGTTAACGAGCCGAGTGTCAGCGGAGGAGCCCTGAACGCTGCTGCCTGTTGCAGGCGACAGCTCCAAATGTCAGATTTGTCCTTTTTAAGATCCGTCGTGTTTTCTATGAATGTTTATTTAAAAAAAAATCCCATGACCTCCGATCCGGAGGGGATTAATGGAGACTTTTTAAATATCAGCATCAGATCATTAGTGTGGAAATATAGAGGAGAGAAGTAATAAAAGACAAGCCGGGACAAAAAGGCTTCTTCATTTCATCACAGTCACAAATCGTTCCTCCAATATAAATATATACGTGGAGTTCTAGATTCCTTGATATTTGGTGATTAAGGTTGTTTTCTGATCAGAGAGTCGGACGTTCAATCATTTCCATTTGATCTGTTTTGGTTTCACTTTGTAATTCAGTGAAATTCAATTCTTCTTCTATTGTTTAATGCTTTCTCTACTTCCTGTGTTTGGTCCAAAAGTCCAAACTATCCAACAAAAGTGTTTTCACTCTGGAACCGAACCACGGTTGAGTTCGATCCACACCCAGAAAAACCTCTTCCGGACTGAGGAACCTTTCACACCTGAAATGTCTGAACATCTGGACGTGTGAATCAAACCTTCAGAAAACTTTTATATAACCTACACTTGTTTTAGTTTGGTCCGTGTCCCGTCTGCCAACACAGAGGACTGAAAATAAAGGATCTTTGAGCTGAGGAACGATGATATAAATGATATTTAAGTGTTAAATCTGTCAGGCTGTAATATTAGAAAACACAGAAGCTCTTTCTGGGTTTTTTCTCCTGGTGTGAAGCTTCGTGTGTTTGCTGCTCAGCTCTCCAGAGAGCTGGTCCAGAGGGGAACCGCAGCAGAAGGTGAAAATGGGATCTCTTCACTGTTAATTATAGATCACAACCAGCCACAAGACTACAGAGAGAACTGGATATTAATAGATCCACAGCTTTATGTTAATTGCTTCTTTTTTTTCTTTTTTTATTACCAACAATCATTTTTGGATACGAGATCAAACAATCGAAAGCTACTTTGAAATTCTAATGCTGATGTGCAAAGACAGGCTGCGCAGCACGTCTGTGGCTCTCTCTAATAGGGCTGCCCCCCCGAAGACTGTGTGTGGCGGAGCGGGGGTGGGGGGGGGTTCTTTTCAAACAGCTGATGTTGCCCCCCCCCCCCCCACCGGATGAATAAGTCAAAAGACAAATGAAAAGCCAAAAGATCCACGTCTTCATCACTGGCTTCTCTCCCACCTCAAAGCCGTCAACGCTGACGACGAATCAAAACTTGAAACGTGGCTTTTTCTGGTTTTATAAATATTTGTTGGAATTGTAAAATGGTGAATGTATTAATAAAGTCTCAATGACGACTCAGAGCCATTCACACACACATTCATACAGCGCAGCACATCGATCACACACTACCAGCCAGTGTGCTGCCCGAGGATACTTCGGCATGAACACTGGGATCAAACCGCCAGCCTTCTGGTTAGTGGACGACCCGCTCCACCTCCTGAGCCACAGCGGCCCACATTTTATATAACGCTGCTAAAAAACTAAAACTTCTTCGTTTGAGGTAAAAAAAAACATTTGTGAAAACCACCGACACTGAAAAACCTAAAATAATATTTAACAATCATTTGATCAGTGGGTGAGTCGGTGACATGACTTCTCGCTACGAATTCATCCTAAAGCCGTCTCAGGGTTTTTGCAGCTCGGCCAGCTCTTGCTCTCCTGGAGACTCAGATTACGCTGCTGTGTGTGAAGCCTCGTGTTCGCTGACGGCTCCTCCTGACCACCGCCGTCTCGGCCGCCGTCTCGGCCGCCGTCACTGCAGCGCCACGTCTCACACTCATTCACTTAAATTACATGTTTTCACTCCTCCTGCACGAGGCAATTAACATATTGTGTCATTTTCCCCCTGCTCTCATTAAGGAAATACACTCGGAGATACTCCACTCTGAATTACTGCAGGATGAGGATTCGCAGCATAATGAGGAGCGCTTGATTAAAATTTAAGTTTTAAGGCTGTTTTGTTTGTTCAGTACGTGTCAGCGCTGCACTCTGTCCAATAAGCTGGCGTGTGGAGCTAATTAGGCTGCTGTAAATTGTTTCCCGAGGTCTGTTACAGTCTCATTTCAGCCGCTGCACGATGACTCGAGGTGTTTAAGTTAATTCTAATGACAGGGTTCTGTCAAAATGATGTGGTAATTGAACGAGAAACGGTTTATTGAGACAATAAGTGGACAGAGATACAAAAAGCAAACTGAATTTTGAATCAAGCTTTAACATGTGATTAGAGGAGCCTGATATTTTTTTTTAAATTTCAAAATAAAGGCTTTTCTATTTCTTTTAATACTCCTGTTACATTCCTGTGGCTCTGCAGAGGCGATGTTATGCTCTGATTGCTCGGTTCCTCGGCCTCCACACACTCCAATCTGCAGTCGGAGAGATTAGCCTGTCTGGACCAGTGAACGCCAAATCACTTTTGTACGTGTGTTTCTGTGCACGATGTGTTTGTGTGTCCCTTATTTAGCTGGCATTAATCGAGGTGGCAGATTAGTAGAAGAGGTTTAATGTGGCCAAGCATGGCTGGGTGTCTGTGGACGGCCGCGGAGTCAACAAATCAAAGCACCGAGACAAGGACACACACACACACACGCATCTGCACACACGGCTACAAGCCACCTTGCTGCCCGAGTCCAGCCGACCACCACAGAGACCAGTTCTCCCTGCAGTCGCATCAACGCGCTCGGGCAACTCGCCACTGTACAAACACGCAGTTTCTAACCTGCTCCATTCGGTTTATCCCGAGGGCTTCAAACTTCTTTTACCTCCACTGAGTTTTACGTAAAGTCCGGGGTCGGGAACAGTCGATTAAAAAACACAGCAACGGAAACAAAGAGTCAATGAATTGTTCATAACTCCAGACACACAATTTAACTGCCACACACACGCAGCTGAGCGGCACGGTGCCTCCGCTTGGCAAGAACAAACTCATTGTTTGCTGAGAAGCTGGAAACAAATCTGAGGCTGTTTGTGGACAAACACCTGCAGCACGAACACAAGGTTTGATGCCGGGCTCAACACACACACACGTCTCTGCATCCTGTGAGTTATCATGCACATGAGCGACAGGAAACAGTTTGTCAAGTGAGCATTAGCTAAATGCTGCAGCGCTCAATGTGTTTGCATCGTAGGTGTTAAAAAACCCTGAATTAATAATTGGTGAGACCTAGTTTCCCGTTTGTATCGACACTCTGAGCCAGTCATCAGTTTCTGTATCCAGTTGGACTCTTGGATAATTGTCTGATTTCTGATTCAAATGTTTTCTTCAGATTCGAGTCTGGTCTGAAAGTTCAGGAGGATAAAGTTGTGAGTGTGTCGGATGCGGTTTATTCTGTGTGATTCGCTCTTTCGAAGCCACTCAATCAACATTTTTTGGAAAAAACATCCTGACATTTCCATCGCTGAGATGTCAGAGAAATGTTTGACCTTTTTAAATGTATTTTTATAAACGGCTCAGTGATCACGAGGCACTGAAATAAATACTGGTGTGGGATATTTCTTGGTCTTATTTGAGTCTCAGAGGGAAAATGAAAGTTTAGCCGAGGTAACGAAACACAGTCTGATGCCTGCTCTCATTCTTTTCCTCCTGAAGATTGGAATCTGTTAAATGCCAGTGGGTTAATATTCACCGCTCACCTGTGTCTGTTTGAAAAGAGCATGAAACCGATGATTTGCAAGTTCTGCACCAACACTTCTTCATCATCATCATCATCATCGTCGTCTTCTTCATCCAAGATCTCTTCTCTTCTGTGCTTCTGTTTAAGTTAGCATGCTAACCAGCTAGCCCCAGCCCTTCTGGTTTCTGCAGATATCTGCCCTGTCGAGGGGGGGGGCAGAGAGAAGAGAGGGAGAGAGAGAGGGAGAGAGAGAGAGAGGGAGAGAGAGAGAGAGGATGAGGTGTGTGTGTGTGTGGGGGGGGGTGTCTCCCTGCAGCCATACGGTGGTTGAGATGGTTTTATACAGTCGTGCTTGTCTGTCTGTTCAGGATTTTATTTTTCCAGTGAATCGCCGCAGGCCAACATCTGTAATATCTCTCTCTCTCTATCTCCCTCTCTCCCTCCCCACTACCATCCCTCTCTCTCTCTCTCTCTCCCCCCCTCTTTATCTCTCCTTTTCTCCTCTATCCGTTTGTGCTGTGATATGAATCGGCCGGTGGTTGTCGGTGTGACTGATGACCGGTGTCGGAGGTCTGTCTGTGTTTCTTTATTAACTCCACACCTGAACCTCAGATTTGACTCCTGGACCCCGACTCTGCTGTTTGTGAGCAGCGACGCACAATTACAAGAAGAAGAGTTGTGTGTTTGTGCAGACTGATGACGACGGCTTGTCTGTGAAACCTGAAGAATCAACAGTTTGTAAATTCTACAATGATTGTCAGTGTATTTACAGCCGGTGGTGGGAAGCGTCATGTTTTCAGGTTGTTAACTTCATATCTCAACAACACCTCGAGGGAATGTCTTTACATTTTTCACAGATGTCCCCTGGTACTGGCAGGTGAGCTGATTACAGTTTACGAAAATCAATTGATTAATTCAGTGAATTAAAGGGAGGCTGAAGAGTGGGATCTCTCTCCCTCCTTCAATCTTGGCACAGTTTCTATTCTTACTGTTTCCTGTTGAGTGAGGAGGTTTAAAGTCCAGGTCTCAGTTCTCTTTTTAGATTTTAGATTTTATCGGTGGAGAAGTTTCTGGTTTGGCGGCCGATTGCGCGTTTGATCCAGATCTTCTCAGTTTTCTTCTCTCTCATTTACTCTGTTAAGTAAATTTGACCATTGCTGTGATGTGGCTTCCTCCTTGTTGTGTTTCGGTCACTGAGCAAAAATTCTGAGGTTGATCCATCGTAGTTGACATTGTACTCCACTTATAAAAAAGTCAAAGTGAGCAATGTTCTGAAGGTAAACAGTGCATACGCGTCCGGTTCGATGCCGGAGTCTTTACACTTCGTCTGCAAACAGGGTGGATGTGAGTGTGTGAGTTCTGGGATGTGTTGCTAAGCGTATCTTTTTACCAACGTAATCCTTGTTTTATCATAAGCCAGTGGACAATGATGATCCTAATCCTGCTCTAAGAAGCTTTTCATAAACTGGAGACACACACACACACACCCACACACAAACCCACACACACACACACACACACATGCAGTATCTGCAAATTAAATAGGCAACAAAAAATACTTTAGTATTTGTTTATTTTCTCTATTTCACGATCACACAACTTTGTTAACATGTTGTCAACTTTTTGGATCTACTTCATGAATATGTTTTACTTTCAACTGCACGTGAAATATTTTATTTATTTGAGTTTATATATAAATGTATATTTAAAAAAATCCCCTGTCAGTGGACAGAGCAGATGAAGGTCGACACTGTCAGACAGATTTCAGATCGAGTTTCTTTCTGCTCTCGGCTCTCAACGGCTAAAAGATGAAAAAAAAAAAAAAAGAGCTGAAACAATTTTTGAAATTGATATAAACTGAGAAAGTTCCAGCAAAAAGTTTTAAAATGTTCTTTTCTGTGGTTTGATGAATTTCTCAGTAAAACATGTCGGACCTCGTAGGAGATCTATGAATAAATTGAGGGACGCTCCCTTGTGTTGGACGCTGCGATCTGCTCGAGTTCAGGACCTGTGTGTTTCTACAGGATGGTAGATATGGGCAGTATTTTGAATCATGAAATAAATGCACATGATATAGAAATATTGTGACATTTATTTATTTGGCTGCAGACAGCACACACTCAAAAGTTCAAATTTAAATATCTGTTCTGTTTCCTGCTCTGGGATTTTGCAGCGAAGAGTTAGGAACCAAAACAGTTTTGAAAAAGATAAAGTAATATATTTCTTCACCATTTAAATGTTTCTGTGTACATTTTTTTTTTCATATTCTTGACCTTTTCTGCAGAACAAATTTTAAACTGTCTGTTCATTCTACAAACCAGGCTCCCTCCGAACAGTCAGATCTGTTTTAAACCTAATGAGTTTTTCACAAACGCCTAAATGCAACAAAGCAAACATGCAGACAGTTAATTCCCCGAGTGCAAAACAATCTCAGTCCAATTAGCTGCTCGCACACAGATTCATCCAGGAGCGAAACCTGTGCCGTAACAGAGACGTTGATTAGTTTGGTTGAGTTTAAAATCTCAACTGAGCCAAAGTTCATTTGAGACACCTGGAAAAAGTAGCAGGTCGGAAATCGACTGTTTTAGCGAGAGAGGAAGTCAAATTGCTGTTGGGTATTAAAAAGCACACAACTAAGAAATATAATGAGGTTCAACCACGGAGAGAGTGGTTTTTATTGTCAGTGGTATGAAAACCCATTGATGCACAATAATAGATATGCAGACGGAAACGGACGGAGCCTTCTGTCCGTACTCTACGTTCATTCCGACTGGAAGTCATAGGGGGGCAGTGTCGGCAATATTTCAAATGATACGACTTTAAGACATTAGAATATAAAAATGTTCCCATGTCACGATGCGTTTACTTAAAGAGCAGAATATAGAGTTTCCATAAACACACACATGTTTATTTAAAGTGGCAGTAGACAAGTTTTTTGATTATTGTTATGAAGTAAAGGTTGTCGTCCTTCAGTTCTTGTTCAGAAATGTTTCACATGTAAAGTATCTGCAACTAAACGTGTCTTTTTATAAGTTTTATGATAAAGTTGCTGTTTCAATACACAAAAACAGACACAGTGCAGGAATCACACGATGCTGAAAACACACTCGACAAGAGAGGACGTCAACATGGCGTCTGCCTGCACTGATGCACGGAACTGTTCATACGCTGCACATTAAACAACCTGAGCACCAGTGAGACAATCGTTGCCTCATGCTTTTAATTCTGCTCTGTGGTGACACGATTGCATCAGTCTGCTGATCTGTCGGCTGCACGTTCACGATGTCTGTCTCCCGTTCCTCCGCATCCCGAAGGTGTTCCACTGGATTCAGACCCGATGAGCGGGGATGACACTGAAGTTCACTGAAGTCACTGCCACCAGTTTGAGA